TTTAGTTAATAAAGTTGACCAAGTTATTTGGCAATGTCCAAAAAGAAATTGTCAAATGAGGGCAAATATTTGAAAGGATTCATTTTTATATATCAAAAGCGATAAAAATTCTTTATCGTTGGGCATGAAAAATGTCTGTATATTTGATGTCAATGGAGGTTGGCATAAATAAAAAACTGTTGCGGACTGGCTGGTACAATTTTTGCTGAGACGTTTGCCTAAACCATTGTGTTGATAATTTTGCACAGATTTCTCAGAACATTTGTAGAAATAGATGAAACTAAAATTCTGATTGCAAAACATTATAGGGGAAGAAATAACAGATATAAAGAGAAGTGGGTGTTTGGAGGAATACAGCAAGGGACAAGAATATGTCTTGCAGAAGAGGTACAAGCATGGGACTCACAAACTCTAATCTCTCTCATTCAAAAATGGATTGCTCCTGAGACGACAATAATCTATGAGTGGCGTGAGTACAGTCAATTGAACAACTTGGGTCATACCCACATCACAGTGAATCCCAGTGTTAATCTTGTTGATCCAGTCACAAGTGCGCACGCTAAATATCAAATTGATGTGGGCAAGATTGAAGCATAGATTTAAATGCTTATTTATACTTATTTCTCGCATTTATTATGCGATTTCAATTGCATTGTAGGCAACTGCCATAGGATTTTGCCAAAACTAAAAAGTTATTGATTATTTATGTTTTTATTTGTTTTATTTATATTAGGATTTCAGCATCACTTTCATACTGATATAAACGTCTAAAATAGTTATGTGAAATACAGTCTCTTTTCAGTAATTGAATGTTTCAGTTACTTTTTAAAAGTGTTTCAATAAGATATTTGATTTGATAGATTATTTTTTTGGTTTGATTTGTTGCTAAAAAACAACTAGTTGACTTTTTTGGTTGCCCCAAATACTTTTAAAAACAGAGTGCCAAATACTTTTTTACACTCAAATATAAGTTTTTAATGAGTACTACTCGTTTTATCGCTATAAAATCTTTCTATATGATTGCCCTCACAGCCGATTGAAATTATATTTTTATTTAACATGAATACAAATGGGTCACCATAGTGGTTTAATGCAAGTTTTGTTTTATTCTAATCTAAAAAATAAATCTGTAGATCTTATTTAATTCATTTTATTGACTTTGTACAGTTTTTTTTTTTCTCCAAGTTCAATCATCCCTAACTATGGAATGAATAGCTACTCTACTCGGTTGGCACTGGCAGACCTTCATATCAGGTCACCCATGAACTTGAACTTTGTTAAACTATTGATTTTTTTATATACAGTGAATTTTGGCAAATTATATTTAATTTTTATTTTTGATCTTGACTTTTTTAATGTTTTCGCCCATTTCTTATCACATTTATGTTGTGCTGACCTGTAGAACCATTTTCTTAGTGAATGCCTCATAAACATAATTCTTTTGTATTGATTTTATCGCTATGTCATTTATTATTGATTAAATTATTTTTAAATGATTTAATTTTAGAATTCATTTTCATTGGACTCAGCGGCACAATTTTTCAAAATTTTTTGATCTAACCTGATGTTGGTTTTACGTTAATCATGACGTGTGATCCCAAAACAAGTGTGGATTTTTAAATTTCATATATTTTAAACTTTTTCATTGTCACTAATTCTATTTCTACAATTCATCAGGATGTTATGGTCACGACAGTGTTGTTGAGAATGATGATGATAACGGTGCTCTAGAGCCAGTAACTGAAGAGATAGAAGAAAGTCCTCCTACTGACAATGGTAGCATAAATCCTGGACTAAACTATTTTTCGCAAATCAGCATCACACTTGAGCAAAAAATTAAATTAATAACCTTACTTGCGAAGCTGAATCCGCCCTTTAAGGATGAAATAAATTGTACGAAGAAATTCCATAAAATTTATCAAAATAAGAAAATTATATCAAATTGCACTTTAAGAAAAAGATTTAAAAGTAAAATAAAACTATTTTCATATAAACCGTTAAGTTATCATGATTGTGTACAAAGAAAAAATGAAGTGTTGGAAATTGATTACTTGGCATCAACTCCAGTTAAAAATGTTTATGATGGGGGTTTTCAATGCCCGTCACCACTTTACGTCAACATGCTTTCTAGGTGCAAAGAATTTCAATCGAATGCAGAAAAAGATTCTTGCGTTATCATACAAAGAGCCAAGCGTACAAACTATCTTGTTTTTCCTGATACATTAAATGAAATAAATACCGAATTATCCATCAAATCTCCACCAAGAGCCGTTCAAATAGATAACAACCGCTATGCTTACGATCAGAGCATAGAAAGTTCAAATAACTGTTTAAATTTGAAAGCGAATAAAAATCGATTTCCACGTTGTCAACTATTTGCCGAAAAGACTGCAAAGAACAAGAAACTGTTGAGTACTATTTCCTGCAATTATGAATCTTTAAAAACGGCTAAAACTTTTACCAAACTTAAAGATAAAACAAAATTAAGGAAAAATAATGAACACTCTACACACAAAAAATCAGATAGTAGTTTTAGATATAGAACGCATAATATGTTATTAAGGAACAAATACTTTAAATGGCTTAATAATATCCAAACGAGGTCAAAATCTAAAATCAATAGTATATTTTAGTGATATAATGCTCATATTTTATTGGGTTTAGCTTAGTTTTACGTTACGTTTTAATCGTTGTATATATTGCGTTTAACTTGATACCTTTATATTATATGATGGTTTTGAATCTCTATTTTGTTTTTTAAAAATTCCTCTTCGTTTGTTTTTTTCAATAGCTGATGTATTTTTTGCTTCAATCCTGGCGTCAAAAAGCTTAGGTGCGTGGTTGAAGCTTTCGCCTGTTTTAATGAAATTTAAAAGTTTTTTGGATGAATGGATAGATAAGTAACGAAAGATTGGAGGCCCCAGCCAAACTTATTTTTTATCATTGCTTTAATAATCGTTTGTGTAAGTCTGTATGGAAACATAATTTCTGTTGAACTAAACAATGGAAATTGAAAGGCTTTTAAGAGTTTATTACGAGGCGTGTTAATATTGATAGACACTGAGTCCAAACTGAGTAAAAATGGAAATATCCTTTTACGAACTACAAAAATCTTTCTTATAAATAGAAATAATATCGCCTTAGTCAGAATAGTGGTAAATTTTAGATTTTCAAACAAGGCTCTTACAAAGAAAGTTTTATTATATGATTCGTTGATAGAATTTACATATACAAACTGTTGGAGACGATTTAGAAGAAAAAGTTGAATGATACAAAAGGCGGTAAACGTAAAAACCATTTCATGTTGAAACTCCATAACGAAATAGGATTCAGTGATAGAGGACAATTTAAAGTAAATACTATTTTGTTGTGTATAATTAGCAACATTATAATTAGCAACATTATAATTAGCAACATTAAAAGATACGAAACGAAAATCAAAATAATTTTTCATGACAGTGATGTCATGTCAGTGACTCTTCAATGGAGGAATTAAAATGTTATGACCAAGATTTAAACCTAGCAAAAACTGGAAAATGAAGTTGTACAATTTAGGACTTTTATGAGTAAAAAAATTATTTCGCCTTCATCTGTTTCCATGTGGTCATTTATTCAGGAAATTAATTTTGCAATTGCAACGTTCCCCAATTTAAACACAATTCTCATAATTTACTTAACCCTTCCAATAAGCAATCAAGCAATGAAAATTTGAAAAGATCATTATCAGTAAATTTTTAAGGTCCACATTATGTTAGCAAAAGCTAAAAAAACAGTTCATTACTTTATATGACAAAAGAGCTATTACATAACTATATTATTATTATGAGATTTACAATTATCTAGAATCAATCAGTAGTGAGTGAAGCTTCATGACCGGAGTTTTTTTTACACCAGATAGGAGATACAGCAACAGTAACAATCCAACTGATGTTAAGCCATCAACCACCTGATAAGGAAGAAGATGACTACAAAGTTAATCAGGTTTAGAGCTTTCATTTTGCATAGCGCTTTTAAGAATGCTAATTTTATAATTAGCGCTATATAAATAATACATAATTGTAATTATATATGTATATATATAATTTATAATATATATATATATATATATACATTCAGTGGCGGATCTAGGGGCCTCCCGTTGTGAGCAATGTTTGTTTCAAAACTCAGTAAAAGTGTTATCATCGAAAGTCGAAAAAAGTAATAATGTCATAAAGCACAAAAAGAAAGAAAAGCTTGCCAGTGTAAAATGTTGGTCTCCTGTGAAAACGTTGGAACTTCACTCTCGATCAACCTATAAATATTTGCGAAACTTCCCCTGGTCAACTAATAAATATTTGCGAAATCTCCCTCCCCGGTTAACCTTGAAATAATGTCGTAAATTTTGGCCACCGTCAAAGTTGTTTAAATCCGCCATTGAATACATTATAGGGTAACGTGGGGTAAAACGCCTACTAGGGGTAAGAGGCCTCCCGTCCATGTTGAGCGAAATTATTGCGCTGCAATTTTTTTTTAACTGCCATAATATTAGATTATCTATGTAATTAAATGGTCTGTGTTGTGGAAGCCGCGCGTTGTTTTGGTTGATAATTAATGAAAGTTTAAGATTTTAGGGCTATCTATTACAAATATAAACATAATCATTAAAGCTTTTTCTCAAAAACTGAAGTTATTCTCAAAAAGTTGAAATAAGTGATAAAATTTTGTATTATTTACACTATTTAACACGATTTTTTTTTAAATCTAAATTTTAATCCATCGTAGCACATTATCGGTTAAAATTTTACAATACATTTTGGGGTAAAACGCCCCCCTATAAAATGGGTAAAACGTCCCCTTTTAAATAATGTAATTAAAGAATAATTTTATACTAGAACTATTTGATATTGTTTTAATCCTTAAAATTGAAAAATGAAATTTAACAGTTGTTTGTTGGTTTGAAGCGTATGGTTGACTCTTTGATGAATGAGGTACCACCAGGTGCTATTGGAGTTTGTACCCCAAGCGGTTGGACAGACAGTGAATGTTTTATGAAATGGTTGAATCATTTTACATTTATTGTAAAGCCATCAAAAAAAGACAAGCATCTTATTTTTCTTGATGAACATCACTCTCACAAAACACTTGAGGCAGTGACATTTTGTCGTGAAAATGGAATTGAATTAATAACATTTCCACCCCACTGCACACATAAGATGCAGCCTCTTGATGTTTCCTTTTTTAAAGGATTGAAAGCTGCATACAATGCAACTGCAGATGGATGGATGCTTAGTAACAAAGGAAGACGGATAACTTTTTATGAAATAGCTGGACTATTTTCAAAAGCATTTTTGAAAGCAGCCACCCCAGAAAAAGCTGTGCATGGTTTTGAATGCACTGGTTTGTGGCCTCTAAACAAACAACTTTTTTCTGAAGAAGATTTTTTTGCATCAAAGCTAACAGATGAACCCTTACCGAATACAGTCACTTTAGCTCAACAAACACCTGAATCTGTGAAACCTGCACAGGAAGTTGATCATGCAAAGAAAGATCCTAAAACGACACTGTTGAAGATCATGGGTCCAATTAAAATTGACAACGTGAGAATTAGAAAACGAAAATCAGAAAAAGCAGCCCTTTTGACATCTAGTCCTTACAAAAATTTACTCGAAAAAAGGGAAAATTCAAAGACTATGTCAAAACGACAACTGATAAAAGGTAGCGGTAAAGAAAAAAAGAAAAAAATTGATTGTGAACCATGTAATACTTGTCAGTTGAAATATTGTGATGATGTAACGGGTCGAAACTGGATTCAATGTCAGTCTCTAACATGCTCACAGTGAATAAATACCACAATGAATGCCAAGGACTTTATGAGAACTATAATGAACAATTTATATGCATTGATTGTGAAAATTCTGACTCAGATTAAGCATCAGTTCTGTTTTAATAAACGTTTGAATAATTGAATAATCAATTTAAATACATCAACAGTTTTTTCAATATTTGTTAACATTGTTTTTATAGTTTTGTTTAATAAATTTGATTGAATATTCAAATTTACCAATGTATTTTTAAACACTATCTATGACATTGACATGGGGTAAAACGCCTCCCAGTAGGCGTTTTCCCCCAATGCTGGGGTAGGAAGCCCCTTTATCAAAAAAGTTTTAATGGCAAAAATTTTTCATTGGGTCCCTTTTATTTGTTAAAATTATGTATTTATATAAAATACTATGAGTGATCTTTCTGGAAGTTTAAAAATCTCAATTTTATAGCATAAATTTGATTTAATCGAACTTTTTCCTTAGAGGGGGGCGTCTTACCCCATGTTACCCTAACGTATTTGAATTGGGCTCTTCAAAACAAAATTATCAACACAACGTCAATTAACAGATTTAACCAGACTCAAGAATAATTAGCAAAAAAAAACAAAATATTTAATTAAAGGAGCAACAATTCATCTAAATTTAATTCCATTTCTAGTCTACTTTTTTCTTCGTCTTTCATTTTATGATTTTCTAACAAACAGTTTTTCGAACAACCATCATTTGAATTAGATGTCTTATCAGTATATTTCTTGAATGAATTCTTCTGTTTACAAAGAAAATTTGGTTGATTGGATGATAGCAAATGAAAGTTGTTTGATAATGTCGATGTTGTCGAAGCGATATGATCGGACATATTCCGGTCAATACACTTGAGAATTTTTGGGACAGTGCCACTGTTTATATATTTGCGTTGGTGTTTTAGTAATCGCATGCTTTTGAACAGACATAAAAAGTAATCAGATTCAATGAAATTTTTAGTCTGGTTTTGAAGGATTTTCAGCTTTTGTTTCGTCTTATAATTCCACATTTTCAATGACATATTTGGTTCCTCGCTGATGTAAGGTGTAACTTGATTCTAAATGAAGGAAAACAAGTGATACAAAACATCGTTTTAATAAACAAGTTAATAATGCAAGAATAGTTTTTTTAGTAATTTTTAAATATTAATTGGACTGATACCATTTAACTCAATTTAGATACACCTTGATTTTAGATTGATTCATTTGATGAAGTTGCGCAAAAAAATTTCTCCAACTATTCAAAATAATAAAAACTAAAGGCCAAACACAAAAATCACAAACAAATGGGAACAAAATTGACATTTATAAAATGGGTTATCGAACATTTCGTCTAAGTTCATTATGTCTCAATTCATTTGATCGAACAAACATTTTGCTTAAGTTTTATTTGTCTAAATTTATTTTGTCTAATGTTTATTGTGGTTTATGTTATTTCGTCTGACCCAATTTGTCTAATTTCGCTTCGTTATTTAAATTAACGTTCATTTCGCTAAAATTCGTTTTGTTCGTCTAACCATCATTTCGTCTAATTGTGGCGGCAAATATATTTTAACTTTTCAATTGAAATTTTGTAAATGTATGTAATAGTACTAAAATTATATTCAAAATAGTTTAAATACACCCCAGAGGAAATTTAGACAAAATGAGTTTAGACGAAATTACTTTAAATAAAATGAGCGCAGTTTGCTCAACAAAACTATATTGGTCTAAACAGCTTAGAACACCCAAGTAGAATAAACAAAAGACACTGAAAAACACTAGAAAATATTCTTTCTTTCCATAAGTGTATTGTCATTGGACAGTCAAACAAAAGGAAATGTTACCACTATAGACGCATAATAGATGTTAGACATGTCGCAGACGCAGAACAGCTGACGAAACCTTAAATCATTTTTTTTATAATCCCAATATAAATATAACAGTTGATAACAATGCAGTTGATAACTTTTGTTTCACATACTACAAGATTTAATAAAATGCGCGAAACCAACAGAAACAAACTTTAGCAACATGAGATAAGAAAGTTGGACCATTATTCGGAATATGGGGGTAAATGACGTTTTGCAGAGAGAGAAAATGTATAAATAAGTTAAAAAATGATAATCAGGGAGCCAAAAGATTTAAATAAAATATAAAATGTTTTAGATAATAGAGAACAAAAAGTGGATATAATGATAAACGAGCTTTGAAGTACGGTAGCATGGCACAGCAATTATTGATCTCTTATTATTCTTTGTGATTGATTGAATAAAAAATTAGTATTTTTAAAGTTGAACATAAAGCTCAACTAGGCTGCGGTGTATACGTAGCAATTAAGCTGTTAGAAATCATTATAAAAGTGGTAAAAGTGATGGAAAATTTTTGAAAAAAAGAATATGAATTAAGAAATAATAAACAAGATGCAATTTGGTTTCACCAGAAAAAGAACCATTATTTAATATAAATTATTTAATTTATTATGCATTTATGGAATTTGTAAAACCTTATTTTAAAATACCTAGAGAAGTAGCAGGAGGGACACTAATGAGATATGGAGTAAAGGAAATGCTGGCATACAATGCGTTGCACGTTTAAATAAAGCTAGAACAGCAGTAACGATTTGAAATAGCACAAGAAACTGGTTGAAATTCAGTATCATGGCTCTATTTTAATGCATCTGAAACGGTGCTCAGACTTGAAAAAAGACTTTGAATAACATGATGTTGATTGAATACAGCTTGTTGACGGGAGGCAAATGTTTATCTATGTACTGACAAAAACGCTGTTTCTCAAATATTGCTTAGTGTACAGTTCATTTCTGATCTCGGTATGATCACTGATTTTCATTTACAATTTAAAGATCATATCATATCAGTTATAACATTTCTGTTGTCGTTAATTCCCTTTCATAACTATTTATTCAAACACATGTTTAATATCAAAGGGAATATTACAAAAAATCTAAATCACTTACGTTGGGTAACATTGTTTACTCTAACAATTTTATTTCCTTTATTTATACTTTTTGTACTTAGCTTTAAACATTAAATAATAAATAAGTAAGCAACCGTAAGTAACACTAACATTGGACAAAAACCTTGTTAAGGGAAAAGAATAGTGATGAGTTGTGTCAATCAATTGTTCAATATTTCTATTGATATTCAATATATTTTTGCAAAGAAAAATATCTGGAACATTGTGATCTCCCACTATGTTAGTTTCTTTATAATGATATTGGAAATCAGTAATTTCTGAAACATAAAAAAATTAGTGAAGTTATGTTACGAAAATTCTGTATGAATATATATTGTTTTATAACAATATCATTTAATTATAAATTTATCTATTATACATAACCGCTCATTAAAAATATTATATTTGATCATTTTATTGTTATACTTTTTGATTGTAATATTGTTGAAAGACAAAAATAACAAGTACTAGACCTAACCTATTTCTAACGAACATATCTATAACAATGCAACCATTAAAATTTCTAGATGATTGGTTGGAAGCAGTAGACAACAAACTTAGAAAGAGCATTTGGTAAAATTTTTCACGTTTAGACGCGAACGACCCCTTCCTACCACTCCTTCAACCTTGAACTCCAACGCTAGCCTAATCTCGACCCTTTCATCCCTTCTCAACACATGTCCATACCACCGCAATCTCGATCTCCTTATCAATGTCACAATGTCCTCATTCAGTCCCATCATTGACATCAGCTCTGTACTACTCCTCCTATCCTTCACTTTAACCCCATACATCATCCTCACCATAGCTCTTTCAGCCCTCTGCAGTACACTTTCCTCCTCTCTCCTCAACACCCAAGTTTCACCACCATATACCATCGCTGCTCTCACACATGCTTTATATACCCTCTCTTTCATCTTCACTGACCATTTCTTTCCACACAATACCCCACCAAGTTCCATAAATTTCATCCATGCATCCATGCAATTTCATGATACTAAATTATACAAAGGAATAATATTGGACAAAAATAAATTGATTGCTCAGAATGTATTGAATTTATTTCAACAGTCAGATGGAGTGGAAAGAAGAATGTTTGGTTTATTGTGAAAAAGTGTGTTCAGATGAATGTTGGGGAAAAAAAATGGGAAGAACTTGCATTATTCTGTTAAAAATGTTGAACTAGACTGCTTAAATATTATTAATTATAATATTAATAATTATTTATTATTATAATTACGATTCTCTCCTTAATATTTCTCTGAGGCATCAACAATAAACACAGTGCATATAAATGCAAGTGAAACAACGCATCACGCACAGTGCATGTGGTAGGCGGGGATCTCTTTGTAATTGAATTTAATCATTGCATTAGAAGTGCCGGGCACCCATTACACCATCATGCCGCCCATTTAGGAATATTATTTGATTGTCAGTTAAATTTCTTTTCTTAATTAGTTT